TCAATAATAGCTTTCACTAGATTCTTGAAGCTGAATTTCCTCTGCCAATAGAGATTTATCAGTCTGACCTTTTGGAGTTTCCCTCGCAGTTCTGATGTTGCAGCCGAAAAGACACGACATTTGGGGATTTATTCTCATGCTCTTGACTCTGTGGCTGCTATCTGCGTAATGGCAATTTATCAAGAGGACGTCTAGTCACTCCATTTATGCACAGAACCGAGATGTCGTATCCCATTCTCTAGTAAATTTCTAGTAGTTGTAGAGTTTATCGACCTTTTTCGTTAAGTCACCCACCGATAATTGAGCAAGCACTCTGCGCTCCAAGATATAAACGAAATCCTTCCATCGCCTACCGGCCCCTCCTCGTACCCGTAAGCCAAATAGCTCTTACATTGATGAATACTGACTTCACAAAGGATACTCGAACATGAGACTAATAAAATTGAAGAAATTAAAACACACTCTCAAAAATCCCAATCTTGGTTGAGCCAATATCGGAGACCCGAAGTTGAAATTCCAATGGCTTTATTGCAGGATCTATTAAGCAGGCACCATAACTACTCAAAATAAGAGATTGGAAACCTTGGTGTTTGTTGAATTCTGGTATCACGACTTCGATCATCTGAAAGAAATCTCTGAAATGTATATCTTGGGTTCAGCATAATCTCCTAAACAGCTCTCTGGAATAATTGCATATGAACAACTGACCTCTAAAAAGTTCTGTGTTATCAGATAATTTAATCTGAGGACTCCATCATGGGGCTAGCAGTGATTATATAAAACATGGTTGACCATGGACAATGAAGGGGTGACAAATCAGGATTTTCACACAATTTTGTTACCTCGTGGGACTGATGGTTGTAGAACCACATGCCAGCACAGTCTACTTTCTTGAAAATTGCTTATTCTCGAGCTTGAAGAGATTTCAAACGACGAACAATACCAGAAGCAAGCAAGAGCTGCATGAATCATTAATGATTGGTACAGAACTATGAGATATAGATTCATCACAGATGTTTGTAAGCTAGTGAACATGAGTTCACAATCCAATATTTGCTGATCTAGTCGAACCCTTTCCATTACAGTCCATCATTTGATAGAAATTCCTTAGAAGTGCAAAAGACTTAAAATTATATGATTTCTACCAGATTCCAAGTGTTTTGCAACTTTTATTTCCCATTTGAACATTGCGTCCGCACCTAAAGGACTCTTTTTCTCTTTTCCCCGACACGGCTCAATCCTGACCTAACTTCTTGGGTACTTATCGAGGAAACGAAGGTTTTTTTTACCCTTTTATTTTTTCTTTATCCAAGGCCTCCTGTATGATCAAATTATTTGAGTCAGTTAACATATCCATAGAGTTCAGTTTCTAATTTCCTACGACAATCTTTGAATACATATCCACATGTCATAAGTACCCCAAAGTTGGACAAACTGTAACTTGTATCTAAATAAGTACATGATCATGAAGGGCAGCTTCAATTTGAGCAATCGAGTGTCAGAACACTTTATTGCATAACTACAATACTAAAGGATTCTATAATACCATTAGTATTCGTATGTACCCTTATACATTGTCCTGGACAAATGGTAATGTAGTATAAAAACGGAATTTAGCAGCCTATATCCCCAATTGGAGCAAATCGAATATGATGAACACTTCGCATACAATACTAAAACGACACGGTAGCTATAATGCTCTTTCTTCCGATTACACCCTGCCTCTGGACAAATTGTGATTGGAAACTAACATCATCATATCTTTTTACTACCTATGACATCATAGACGCTTATCCTTCTAAAGTAAGTTGAGGTCGATTAATCACCTTGTATTTAATATAGATAACTTGAATATCAAATAAGCAGAGATATGAACAATACAATGAAAGACTAACAACCAATCAGCACATACCCTATTTAGAAGAATTCACCAATTTCTTCAAGAGCTGAAAAAAGCATACCATAGATATTGGCATAGGTTTTGATTTTGTGATAAACAGATGCATAAAAAGGGAGACCATATAACATTTTTTACAAGACACTAATGCTATGTACCAACCTCCTAAACACAGGATATTATGCTTACAAAGCCTAAGAGTAAGAAAAGAATTTAGGACAAGTGAGGTTTCAATATTTCCTACTTCAACAATAGCGGAAGGCCCGATTACCCATTAAATCTCTTTGGGATACCTTAAATGCAATCACATTGCAATTCCCATACAAAATGAACAGGCAAAAATTACTTCTTCCATTCACAATAAAATTTGTTCTAAATTTGCAATATACTTACAGTGGGTTTCCCGTTTGTGGGCTTCTCCAACTCCTGATTTGCAAACTGACTTGCAAATATTGGACATTATATTGGATTTCTCAATGGATGCTCTTATTTCTTCAAACAGATCAACCTCAGTGCTTTGGTTGCTGTCCAAAGAGAAGTCATCACTATCTAATGTAGATTCTGAGTCTGCATATCTCCACCTACACAGATCTTCTTGAATTACGGGTAATAGGTGAGCTTCAGCCTTCTGAAATCCTTTATTTATAATAAACAACTCCTCTGGATCTAGAACTCCTGATCAGGCATGAAGCATTAATGACTTCAAATTTTAACTCGCTCTAATCATATGAAATGAGTTAACATTGGCAGAAGGCACCAAATATTTCAGATTTCTTGTAAAAGCATACCTGCACTAGTGAAAAAAGCACTATCCCAAGCTAAACTTTTGCGCAAGTTGCTTGCTCTTCCCAACTCAGTGGATTCATAAAATAAGAGCTTTTGCTCCCTTTGCTCGAGTATTTCTACTGCATTTTTAGGTTCTCGAGAATCTGTGGTCCCAAACAGCTTGAAACCTTCTTGCTCATCTATTTTCTCCCACACTACTGTGAAAATGAATTCAAGAATAAAATGTTTCAGGCTAAAATTGAAAATGGAAGAATGTATCTGTTCAAGTAACTGCAGAATTGATCCTAATGTTGATGCAGAAACTAAGATCTATTGGTGGTTTTTCATGCAGCCTAAGCAAATTAGAGTCCTTTAGATATTGATGCGTTAGTTATCAGGAAATGGAAGAGTCAAAGATGATGTAGAACTATGAAATATCTCACAAATAAAACAATATCAGAAATTCAGACCTACCATAAAGGAACAATTAAGGTTCTTAAAATTTTGCTCCCATCCCCGAAAGTAACTGAAGAATTAGAAACGCAGGTCTATTCTAATGGATTGATTATTAGTCTTAACACTGATAAACAATAAAACATGAAAATTAGAATTAGAATATAAACATGCCTACATGGAGCAGAGAAATATCATTCGCCTACTATATAACCTACAATTAGATTATTAAAGAGTATTTCTTCCAATATACTTATGTTATCTCACATTAAGACATAAGTACAAACTATTGTATTGGCAGAGATTAGGTGACTAGTTACAATTTATAAAGCATGGATAGAGGGATACAAGATAGAGGTATGACCCAAAATGGATACATCGATACAAATTTTGAAAAAGTAGGATATGGATTATGTTAAAGGATACAACCTTATATAAAAATATACATAAATTAAAAAGTAATTTTGTCATAAATCTTTTAGGATAGACTATTTTTCTTTATTTATCTATAATTAGGAAACACTAATTTGGCAAAGCCGAGTCAGACTTTCGATTTCTAGAAAAAATTCAATAAAAATTGATTAATTTATTCAGATGGTGATAATTAATCAAATCATTTGAGAGTCACATAGTAATTTTATATACACAGTTACATAACCACCATGAAGTATGTAGGCTCTCTACTTCCAGTCGCACGTTCCGCATATAACTCCACTGCCATCAAGAGTTGCAATGCTTCCCTACGATGTATTCATGCACATAAAGTATGTGTTGACTTTCTAGTCTACCAAATAGTCTTAATTTTAAACTACTAGAAGTCATGGCACGCAATAAAATTCAAAGTGTTGTATTGGTAGAGATTAAGTGACTAGTTGCAATCTACAAAGCAAGAAATGGGATACAAGATAGAGGTATGACAAAATATGGATACATTATTACAAATTCTGGAAAATTATGATATGGATTAACTTAGAAAATATGAAGAAGAAGAACTCCGAAAAATATGAGGAAGAGGAAATATTTCTGTTAATATTCAAAACTTCTTATCTTGGACAAGACCAAATGACACTCCTTATATAGGAGATAATTAAAAGCAATCATCATAAACCCATTTAATAATGGCCCCACCTTAGCATATTATATAATTACCACTATCTACCACTATGCATATTATATACATGCCACTAATCTAGCCAACCACATCAACTAGCATTTCTATATGCATGCCACTATCTACCACGAAACCCAACTATCAATTTCTATAACATACCACTATCTACGCGACCAAACACCATATCATAATTCTATATCATGCCACTAGTTACGCACCAACACATATCAATATTATATACATGGAACACAATTTTCCAGCACCCCCTCGCAGCTGGTTTGAAGATATCTTCCAGAATATGCACTTGCTAGTCCAGGTACTGTACTACAAGTTAACTTTCCTTGGTAGCCGTCGCCCACCGTTCGCATGTAGCAATCAGGCTAATGTGTTCATAACACCAATCTGGTTCGCGAATGGGTAGGTCATAGCACCCAGATTGATGCCAGCAGCATTTCTCTCTATTTCTCCTTGATGAATGTTTCACTCCACCTTCCTAATATGTTTTGTGCCGACGTCATTGGTCCAGACTGGGAATTGTGAGCTATAGATATAGCTGCTTGTTGTCATCAATACGACCGTTCACTACGAAGTGTCGGGTGTGAAAGCTTTAATTCTTCAAAGAATCTTTTAATCCACAATTACTCACAGATTCCATGGGCAAAGCCGAATTGCCGTCTATGGACTCTAGCTCTCCTCAGGCCTTACCCGTTCTACTGTCTCACATCGTTTCCGCCATGCTAACTAAGGTTTCGCCACGGCTACAACAAAGGAGCAGTAACCGGATGTTTGATCTCCTGTTTGTAACCACTTTCTGCCCAGTTCCTGATCTGTTATCCACGTTTCAAGCTTGAAAGATGCTCCATGTTTATCTTGAAGGCACTAAGAGCCCTCTCCCTGGAGTTCCTTTCAAAGTATCTTAAGATCTTATAGCCACGGCCTCAAAGTGCTCTGCCCTAGGTGAGTGCAGTGAAGCTGACTACCATGCTGACTTGCAATGGCATATATCAGGCGCCAGCCGTATGAGACAAGTAATGGCCTAATTTCCTACAAGCTCTGCTGATTGCATCATCGTCTCTCATCTCTTGGTCGACCTTCTTCAGCCTTAGCAGAGCTTGTAAACTTGCAAGTTAGGCATCTCCGATCGAGAGTGACTCTCCGCCATCTTACAACCAGCATACCTGTTTTCTCAAGGAGTCAAGAACATATTTTCTCTGATTAATACGAATTAACGCTTCCTTGGGATCTTAGCAAATTCATTCGAGGAAATACATTGAGGGGCTCCCGATCCTTAAATGTGAAATTCTTTTGCGAAGTTTCTCTTTGAGGCTGCTGAACCGTTCCCTCGCTTCATCAATTACCAGTTAAAATGTGAGTCATCAACATAAACAATCAAATTGCAATTTTTACTGTTATTTTTGAATGTTTAATAAAATATTGTGTGATCTGCTTGACTCTCGAGAGCCAACACTGATCTGCCTTCCCAAGCGTTCAAACCAGCTCTTGGTGATCGTAGACGACGCGTCGCGGACGAGTGGTGGTTGAACAGACCGTTGCGTCGCCTCGCGCGCGTCGGTCCGTCGCGGGAGCCTGTCGTGACCTGGTTTTGAGCTCCGTATAACAACTCTTAGACCTTGTTCCAATTTGCCCATACTCTGTCACTTCCAAAGTCTCTGCCAAAATCCCCGGCGGTTACGGCTCATGAACAGCCGCCTGCCCTCCTTTCAAAAAGATCACAATTGAGAAAGTGCATTTTTAATGTCAAGTTGATAGCTAGAGGCCAATCTGAATTTACTGCAAGAGATGAACAGTACTCTGATGGAGCAACTTTATTTTAGCACAGGAGCAAACGCTCTCCTGATAGTCGACAATCGCCATAAGTTTGAGGCGGCCCTTCTCGCGCACCAAGTCTCGTGCTCTTGTATCTCTCAACGCTCCAATCTGCGTTACATTTTAATCGTAAACGCACCGCCATTTACACCGCCACCCACTGTTTTCTTGTTCTTTGGGTAGATCAACTAT